TCGCCGAGATGACCGTCGAGGAGCTGGCTATGGTGGCAACAATCGTGGTGGCGCTGGTTCTGCCGGATCTGGCCAACGAGTTGCTGCAGTGCATAATCCGTTCGAGATGAGGAAGCCCGACTTCGTCCGAAAGCGCCCGCTCGGCGAGGAAGCAAAGTTCCGGCAACACAGACAAGAGGCGGCCGCCAAGCTTGCTCAAGCTGCGGGCTATCAGATGAAGCGAGGGGCCGTTCGTCCTCTACTCACACACGAAGTGGAGCCGGGCGTTGCCGTCGAGTGGGCTCTGCAGGTGTCCCACCCGTTCTCTGTTCCTCCGCCACTGACAGAGACTATGCTACGGAACATCAACCTTGTAGCCCTCCAGGGTCATGCGGTGCCACGTGCTCGCGGCCATGATCTGGACTGGTGGCGCCGTGAAGCGCATCGGCTGTTGCCAGTTACAGCCTCTTGGATCGAACAAGTACCTGATCGGCACCTTCGATGCTTGCTTCGCGGCGCTCCGGACGGTCATCCATGTGAGCTCGGTCGCACATGCCATGTCGCACTGTACGATCGATTCTTGCGATTCGTGCGTTCGCCGGATCAAGATCTGGTCAAGTGCTTGCTGCATGGTTTTCCTATAGTGGGCCGGATCTTGCCGTCGCACAGATGGCCAGCCTATGAGAAGCCACAGAAGGTCATCCCTGTGCAGGAAGCAATTGATCGGGCCTGGGAAATTCGAAGGAAGGTCATTCTCCGAGCGGACAGCGTCCCTGTCTCGGACGATCTACGTTCGCTGTGGGCATCGTCGATGGAAGATGTGGTAGAAGGATCGGCGGCAGGACCTTTCTCTTCGATCGAGGAGGTGTCTCAGTTTGTGGGAGCGGACAACTGGATCCCCACTCAGCGGTTCGCAGTGGTGCAGAAGAACAAGGTCCGAGGATGCGATAGCGCTACTGTGAATCTGATCAACCGCATCACCGAGATCGTAGAGAAGCTCCAGCTGCCGTCCACGGACTTGAACGTGGCGGCTTTGCGCGAGCTCAGGACGCGCTGTGGTGGCAAGAAGCTGCGGGGGTGGGTCCTGGACGAGAGGAAAGCCTATCGGCAGGTTCCGATAGCCCCTGGCCACCGCAAGTTCAGCGTGATCTGTCTAAAGGACCCCTCCTCGGGCGTGACAAAGTTCTTCGTGATGATAGGTCACTCGCTCGGCCTCGTCTCGGCGGTGTACAACTACAACCGCCGTTCGGCGGCCATTAACGAGATCCTCGAGAAGATCTTCGGGCTCGTGTCCTTTAACTTCTACGACGACAAGTACGGTTTCGAGGCCGAGGAGACGATCGACAGCGCCCACGAGGTTGCGATCACCGTCCACTGGCTTCTAGGAGCACAGTTCGATGCCAAGAAGCTCCAGAAGACTGCGGCTCCTGTGATCCTCGGGGTGACCTATAATCTGGAGCAGATGCTTCTCGAGATCAAGAAAGAGAGGAAGCAGGAGCTCATCGAGCTGATCGACTCGTACCTGATCGCGGGAGTCCTGGACGCCGGCTCGGCGGGCAAGCTCAAAGGCAAGCTGATGTTCGGAGCGAGCCAGCTCTGGGGGAAAGTAGGAAGAGCCTTTTTCCGACCGCTGTCTGAGCGCCAGTACTCTCGTGATCAAGGAGGTGATCGCTCGCTCCTGACGCCCCAGATCGTGCGCGCACTGAAGCATTGGAAGCGGCTCATCTTGGCAGGACCGCCAAGGCCTATCGACCTGCGAACAGTGCGTAAGGCAGATGTGGTGGTCTTCACGGATGGGTTCGCACCTGACTTCCGGAAGGGCGACGTCGAGCCAGAGCGGAATGGCATTGTGGTCTTTGATAGGAGATCGCCGGCCCCCTTGCAGGTCTCTGAGCCCATCCCCGAGCGGGTGATCAAGAAGTGGATTCCACGAAAGAGCCAGATCTTCCCAGTCGAGCTGATTGCCCCGGTGCTGGCCCTCTACACCTTTCGTGATCTCCTGAGGGGCAGGGACGTAGTCTTTCTTATTGACTCCGAAGGAGTTGAGGCTGCGCTCGTGAAGGGATATTCAGCTCGTGAAGATGTTGCATCGATCGTCGAGGTTTTCTGGAACCTCGCTCTTGAGTTAGGCGTGAACGCCTTTATCGATCGAATCTCGACAGATGCGAATCCGGCAGACTGGCCGTCGCGGTCGCGTCTGGAGATTGGTGGCAATGCAGGGTGGCTGTTGGCTGAATGTCAGTGGCCGCCCGAGCTCCGTTAAGTCGTTAAACTTGGGCCTGGGGTGTTTCAGTTCGATTTTGTTGTGTGGAAGGATGGCTATCGCCACCTGCTCACTGCCAGCTCTGATTTCTGTTGCCGCCCGTGCTTTGAAGCGTTCGGGAAGAGCGGTTCGAGGCACGAGGCAGCACAGCTCGTGAAGAGTCGCTGGCGAAGTGTTGCAGTATGGAGGCGTGCGTTGAGCGAGGGAGTTCGCTCGATCGGCCATTCCAGTTTTGACATCGTGACTGCTCAACCCCAGGCTCGAGCAGACGAAAAAGGATGCTCTCGCATTGTGTTGTTCATTCTGAGGCTTCATGTTGTGGTGTGAACAAGCGAGGGGAACGAGCGTTCGCTGCCGGCTAAAGTGGTCTCCCTAACACCGGTAAGGTTGGTCTGGGTTAGGGTGGTCACTTTACAAGCAGTGTGTTCACACTTGGTGACACGAGGCCGCAGATCGATCGTGGCCATTTTGGCTGCAAGACGATCGGTCTGCGGCCCCCGCTGAGATTTTTGCAACCCACCCTCCACTCCCTTTGTTGATCATGCAGCGATTGGTCAACATGGAGGCCCTGGCCTTCGGCACTCAGGAGCAGCTCTTCAGACCGTGTGTGGACTGCGGCCTGTTCACTGGCTGCTTCTGCGACGGTTTAGGGCAGCCCTGTTTTGCAGCCATTCGAGTGCCGCGCGAACGCTGGGCACGAGGTCAGCAAACCCCATTGTGCACGCTGTGCGATCGCACTATGGGAGTGTGCCATTTCTGTCGCGGTCAAGCATGGTGTGTTCCACCGAGCCACCACATGCAAGACCCTCAAAAGCCAGAGGAGGGCCAACCAGATGCCGCTTTTCAGATCGACCCCGACGATGCTGGCGAGCGGGAAGCTCCGCAGCCTGATGCAGGCGGCGAGGACGCGGAGCGCGAAGCTTCAGTGTCCGATGCCACTTGCTCTAGCTACGTTGCCGCTGATCAAACAGCCAGCCAACCATGAGGGGGTGTTTCAGTTCGATTTTGTTGTGTGGAAGGATGGCTATCGCCACCTGCTCACTGCCAGCTCTGATTTCTGTTGCCGCCCGTGCTTTGAAGCGTTCGGGAAGAGCGGTTCGAGGCACGAGGCAGCACAGCTCGTGAAGAGTCGCTGGCGAAGTGTTGCAGTATGGAGGCGTGCGTTGAGCGAGGGAGTTCGCTCGATCGGCCATTCCAGTTTTGACATCGTGACTGCTCAACCCCAGGCTCGAGCAGACGAAAAAGGATGCTCTCGCATTGTGTTGTTCATTCTGAGGCTTCATGTTGTGGTGTGAACAAGCGAGGGGAACGAGCGTTCGCTGCCGGCTAAAGTGCCCTTATTATAATATGGTTCCTGGGCAACCAAGTCAGGGTTTACGTGTTACATACTGGACTCTTTGGAAGTCAGGTACCCCTGTATAGTCCCTCAAATGTTGGATTTAGGGCTTCTGCTGTTGTGCTGTAGGGGGGTTGAGGACTTGTGGGTGTTCGGGTTTATACGCTTCTAGGGTGTAGGCTGTTGGGTTGTAGGATGAAGCCCTAAACCCCAGAATGGTGGGGGTATCTGTGGCCTTGAGGGTGCACGAAATCTTTTCGAAGTTCGGGGATCATGGCGACATGAGCAGCCGACTTTGTTTATGCTGGCAATATCCTGAATCATTTGGAGCGGACATGGATTTAGTCATTTGCAAGCCTTCACTGGGGAACGAGATAAGGGGCCTAGACAACGAGATGCCTGACATGATCGCGTGTTCAGTTGGAGGTCGGCTTTCCGCTCTGTTACGATGTTATGCGATCAAAGTACAGGGTCGCCAAAACTATTTTTCAAGAACCTGGAAATTTAAATTCATTTAGGCCTCCGGCCGGGAAGAGCATCTTGCACCGTGCCAGACACGCCCAAAATGATTTGTTAGCTTGCGCAGTGAAAGGAAGCTGGCAACATTATGTTACAGGCCCTGGGAAAAATCTCTTTCGCAACTGCAACTTTCTTTGGGAGCCTCCATGAAGAGCTTCAACAGGTCCGGAGAAGTTCAATTTGATGGGGTTGAATTATAGTAGGGTACCCTGCAATCTGTTGCTTAATTCGGAGAGAAATACCCTGCAACGAAACGACCTAGTTTAGACCAACCTCCCCTAAACCTTAACCCTAAACCCTCCGCCTGACGGCAACAGGGCTGTCCGCATCAGAAAAGTGTTGTCAGCCTTCCTGCCCGTGCGTTCTATGAGTTCGTTCCAGCCCAAGAGGGAGAGGGCTCAAGAGGCGGTTTCCCATAGCACCTTGATTTTATGTTTACCCCAACCTCTCTAGCTGCAATCCCGCGAAGAGGCGGTGGTCTCTGGTCTCGTTATGCTTGCATAGAAGGGGGCCAAGGATAAATAAGGCCACGCCTACATAGCATGGCAACAGACTACACTACACCCCCTTGGCCCAACCTTAAAACCAAGGCTTGCCAGCCCTACAATGCCTCAAAAGCCCTGCTCCGAAACCCCCTGTTGTGGGGGTTTATACGATATTAGGGGCACCTTATTGGTGTCCTTCTTTTAAAGGGATCCTACTATTTAAGGGACTATATTATGGGTCCCTTACTTTCGCAAACCCCCATATAGCGATATGAACCCCTAAACCCTAAACCCTAAACCCTAAACCCTAAACCCTAAACCCTAAACCCTAAACCCTAAACCCTAAACCCTAAACCCTAAACCCTAAACCCTAAACCCTAAACCCTAAACCCTAAACCCTAAACTCAATCGTCATGCCATGGCTCGAAAGGACGCCAAGACGCGCACCTTCGAGGTGAGCAAGACGGGCCGATGGACTTTGCTAGGCGGGGTGGAGGGTTTAGGGTTTAGGGTTTAGGGTTTAGGGTTTAGGGTTTAGGGTTTAGGGTTTAGGGTGTAGGGTTTAGGGTTTAGGGTTGTATGTTGTATGTTGTATGTTGTGTAGGGCTTACAGGATATAGGGCTTTTGTGGCTTAGGGTTTAGGATTTATGGACTTTAGGGTTCAGGGCTTACAGGGCTTCAAGAACTTTGCACCTTGTTTTGTTTTCAACTTTAGGGGTTTATGGGCCCACATCCACAGCGTCCCCACCCTGGATGTTCCCAGGAATCCCCATCAACTTTGAGTCCACCGTCCTGGCGAAAGAGGCGCCCAGTTGCAAAAAGGGCCCTGCTGCTTGATGAGGGCGTCCGCATATCTTGGCTTAGGGCTTAGGGTTTCGGGTTTTAGCCCTGAACCCTAAACCCACCCTAAACCCTGAACCCTGAACCCTAAACCCTAAACCCTAAACCCTAAACCCTAAACCCTAAACCCTAAACCATCCAGGGTGCCAGTGCGCAGCACATCGCAGTCGCTAGGGCTTGAGGTTGAGGGCACACTGCAGGGCTGCCTGATGGCCCCTCTAGGGAGGCACCTTTAACAACCCTTAGACCCCAATCGTAGGCTGTCTCGAGCACGCCTGGCATCACTTCGTAGCAATGTGCAGTCTAGGGTAGCTTATTCCTCTGCCCAGAAGTGCCAGACTTCTTTGTTCAATCCTCATAGCCAGGGCCCTAAGCCTACCAGCCGCAGCAACTTCAGAGGACTGGAAGAAGTATGAAATCAGCTTCAAGTTGAAGAAGCAGGGTGCGATGAAGCACATGTCAGGCTGGGGGGCACATGATTGACCCTTGGTGCCCTCGAAGTGCGTCCGTGAAGTCCAGTTGCATCTGTAGAGTGGTGCCTCTTGAAGTAGAAGCCTACTGCGCTCCCTGCGTGGACTTGAAAACAGGGTTGCTTAGGACTATTACTACACAAACCCTCAGCCCTACACCCCTAAACCCTACACAGTTGAAGGCTGAGTTTAGGGTAACCCTAAACCCTAAACCCTATAAGCCCTAAACCCTAAACCCTAAAACCGTTGCCCTGGACAGGCTTCTGGCGCGTGGTGCCCGTCAGCCAGGAACTCCACTAGTCTGAGACACTGCATGGGGTTCAGGGTTTCGGGTTGAAAGCTCTTAGGCTGTAGGGCGTAGGGCTTAGGGCTTAGGGTTTAGGGTTTAGGACAGGGATTGGAGCTTGGTGGCTGGACCACAGGGCAATTTAGGATTTAGGGCTTATTGGAGTTGAGGATGAACATAGGACTTGGCAATCCGACTGAAAGGACGAGTCCATTGTCCTCTTCTACAATGAGGCGCGTTAGGGTTTAGGGGTTTGGGGTTCAGGGTCGCGGAAAGGGGGGCCCCGAGCATTCCCCCGTTTGGCGGTACTAGAAGCCCTGAACCCTTGAAGCCCTGAATCCTAAACCCTAACTCCATCCCGGTCTTCATAAAGGTCACGTGAGCACTCCAAACTTGCAATCTGCCTCAATGTCATCATTTCACTACGAATTCGACTGTCAAGACAAGCACGACATGTGTTCCAAGGATCCCCATGCCGAACCATCCCCTTGAAAAAAAAAAACTGAAGTTCCAAGTTCCCCCGACTTCGGGGAGGGGCGCCCTCCATGAACACTGCGCCCTACCCTGGCGAAAGCCTGCAGTCGCCTTAACTCTCGGCCTAGGGAACGGAAGCGACTCTGAAACCCTACAAGGCCCCCATGAGCCTTCAACCCGAATCGCTGAACCCCTAGGGTTTAGGGTTTTAGGGTTTAGAGTTTGGGGTTTAGGGTTTAGGGTTTAGGGTTGCAGGCTTCCGGCTCTGGGCATCCCAACCTCCAGCTCCAGCTTCCTTAGGAAGCGACGTGCTGAGGCCGTCCCCTTCATTCGCATTCCATCCTTCTTCCGGGCCTTCGCCGGTGCCTGGCTGTTGATTTATATGAACATCAAGGATGTAGCAGGGCTTTTCAGCGCACTGTTAGATCTCCAACCACTTCACCGTGGTTCAGGGCATGACCGTGCCAGGCCACTAGTGATGAAGCGACGTGCTTTTTACTCTAGGCGCTGTGGTCACACAGGCGCATTCCGCAACTAGAAGAGCCGGGCAGCTTCTAGCCTCCAGTCAAAGCAGTTGCAGTTGCAAGATTTCCGTCGCAAAGTAGCGGTTGGGTGCAGTGCAAAAAAAAGTAGACGCTTGTCCAGCAGAAGGCAGGCGAAAGACGACACAGAAGCAGCCGTGGCAATCGTGATTGTCAATGGTTCGCTACAACAAGTCACGCAGCGAATCATGACATGGTGAACGGCAAACCCTGCCTGCGCATGTGAAGTGAGCACAGAGTCTTTGCAAGCAAGCACGAGGTCGCCTTATCCGAGAGATGGCGGCGTCTTTGCTGGAGGTCCTGCGAGCAGTTGCAGGCTTAGAAGGTGTAGGGGTAAGGAGCTGAGGGCTTGAACTTGAGGTTCCTGCCGCAGGAAGGCCAAGCTGTAGCAGCCCTGACTTCGCTTTTGAGTGCAGCTTCAGAGTTTGTACAAATGCTTAGATATATATTATATATATGTATATATGTACATATAAGGAGAGTATATCTGAATGGTATATATTTGTCTATATATCTCTATGTTCTGAAATCTGGGCCTGGCAATGGCAGGATCTCCGAGGGGCCATCGTCCGATGGCAGGCTGAGGAGGCACACACAGGGTTTTAAGGCTTCGGGGATGGGAGGGTGTAGGGTTTAGGGTTTGGGGTTTAGGGTTTCGGGTTTAGGGTTTAGGGTGTAGGGTTTAGTAAGGTTTAGCAAGGTTTAGTAAGGTTTAGGGTTTGGGGTTTAGTGTTTAGGGTTTAGGGTTTAGGGTTTAGGGCTCAATGCTCATGACGCAGGATTCACATCGAAAGTCGTGGGGGGTTGTGGTATGGCGGTGCTGTCTGCTGCACTTGGCTTGCAGGGTCTCTGTGTCGGGTTTAGGCTGCGAGGCCCTATGAAAGCCTAAAACCCTAAACCCTATAAACTCTAAGCCCTCAACCCCTAAGCCCCAAGACCCTTCAGCAAGAACCACTCCAGCCAACCTCCCAAGCACTTTTTCAGGGTTGAAGGGGTAGAGCTGAAAGGGCAATTCATTAGGGCTGCTTCTGTATCGAACCGGGAGTCTAAGTATACGCAAAAATTCCCGAACTTCGACGGCGCGCCCCAACGGGATGAAGAGGCAGCCGGCGTGGTTCGAGTCCTCAATTCGTGGGAACCCGGAGTTTCTCGGCAGATCACGGCAAGGGGTTCCAGCTTCAGGGTGTGGCAGTCAGGGATCAGTTTAGGGTTTAGGGTTTAGGGTTTAGGGTTTCAAATGGTTCCTTTTGGTTTGCCGTTTTCGGTCTGTGGAAGGTGTTGCTGATCTCCTGCACCCGTTGAGTTGATTGAAGGGGCATTCACCTCCCAAGGCTTTTTCATCATCAGGGTCCTTGCACGCAGCATCAGAAGACAAGTGGTGGAGGGGGAGTAGGGGTCAGAGCAGCTGCACCGCGACCCGAGTACTATAGGGGTCGGAATAATTACTAACATTATTCCCGTATGGTCCCTTCATAATTCTACCAAAATAACCACATAATAACCCCCGAAACCCCATTCTACTTATTAAGGCCCTTAACATAATAACGCCCGAAACCCTATTCTAGTTACTAAAGCCCTTATGCTAATTAGCATGGAGATGCTGTCCACATGAGGACATCGAAGCTCACCGGCAGTCGATGTGGCCCGGCAGATCAGCTTCAGAAGCTCAGGGATGTTGGTGGCATGCGCCAGTTTAGGGTTTAGGGTTTAGGGTTTAGGGTCGAAGTCATGATCCCCTTGGTCGGTTGTCATATTCAATGGCACTATCATCAGAGAACTAGTCGCGCAAGCATTAATAGTCAGTCTCGGAGAACGGAAAGGGGATTGCCGTATGGTTGGTTGGCAGCTGTCATAGGCTCATACTGCATCGGCTGATGGCCGAATTCACTGCCAGAAGCTCACCTGCGTTCTCCGAGTCCATTGATGAGTAGCTTCCTTCTGATGGCGGCACACACTATCTTGAACATTCGCACTTCCTGGCCATGCAAAGCTGCGAAGGAAATAGAGATCTCCCCCGCCACAAACCTAAGCTTCGGCCCCAAAAGCCCTCGAGTACTAAGCCCTTGAACCCTTGAACCATCAAACCCTGAAACCCTTAAACCCTTTAACTTAAAACCCGAAACCCTTAAACGTAAACCATTTAAGTGCCGCTTTCCAAGCGTGACCCTACGCACAGCGGGTTCCTCCGCGGAAGAGTTGCCGGGGGACCCCCGGAGGACCTCCCCCTAATCCCCCCCCCCCCCCGAAAGAGGGAGGTTTCACCTCCACAAACCCATCCAGCCTGCCAGGGTCGGCGGACCCAAACCCTAAACCCGAACACCTAAACCCCGAAAACCAGCAGGGAGAAGGCTGCCCAGCTCACAGAGAGCTGAGCTTTTGCACGCGTGGAGGGCTCAGCCGCTTTCGGATTTCCGAGTTGATTGTCGTCCCCCCAAATACGCCTACAACGTTCAACATGTATGTACTGTTGTATGTATACTTACATGTGTATATATTATATACATATTATGTATACAATTCGTTAATTGACTATTTCATGTATTAGGTGTTATGGTTGCGAGAGAGAGGTACAGCCCTACGACTAGAATGAAGACTCCATTGTGAGGTCCCTTCCTTTGACTTTGGTACTTGGAGGGACCCCTAAACCCTAAACCCTAAACCCTAAACCCTAAACCCTAAACCCTAAACCCTAAACCCTAAACCCTAAACCCTAAACCCTAAACCCTATAAACCCTAAACCCAAAACTGCACTGCGGGAAAGAAGCTGGGTATATGACCCTCAAGCTGCGGCCTCGGGTTCTGGGAGAAAATTACGCCTCGCTCCGTTGGACGCTTATTCGGTTTAGGGTTTAGGGTTTAGGGTTTAGGGTTTAGGGTTTAGGGTTTAGGGTTTAGGGTTTAGGGGTTTCATCAGGGGTTAAGGCTTAGGGTAATATGGGTTTAGGCTTTGCTTGGTATGTGTTTTTGTTTTTTGTTGGCAATCGGATTAGTAAGTATTCTTATTGGAATGTTGTCACTATCGCTTTTTTCCGGGGAGGCAGGGGGGGAGGGGCTGGTCTGTTTGTAGTCTCGAGTTGTACTTCAGTGAGGCAGATGTCCAAGGGATAAAGCGATGATGGGCCGCTCCAGGCGGTAGGAGCAGAATAGAACTGGTGTGCCTCTTAGATGTTGCAGCAGAACTGGAAATGTCCTGAACATGACATACCCTATACCGGCGATGGCATGCACGGGCAGGCGCAGCACCGTATACTCTTGAGCGGAGGGCGAGTGTAGAATGCAGCACTTTGCCATGGGACGGCTGAAGTTGCAGCTCTTTCCCTTAGAAGCTTCTATTTGTGTGGATTCCAAGGCCTGGCCCCAGAGCATCGACTCGAGGTACCTGGGTTTGGAAGGGGTTTGGAGGGTTGGCAGGGGTTCAGGACTTCCAGATGTGCGATTGCAGAAACGAGTGTAAAGACGGACCGTGACGGACCTCGGATCTTGTCTACATTCATACCGCGAGGGTGAACTAACATGCCAGATCGTTCTTGCTGCATCTGTTCGCCTCTTCGTTTTCCGCTAGATAAGCGAAGGAGCGCATCCAGCACGCTTGCGGGACGATAGAAGGTACGCAGGTCTCCCTGAAACATGACTCTCCCGAGCCGACCAGGAGCCAGGTGACGGAAGCATCTTCATGCTTGCACAAGATCCACATGCTAAGCGGGCCCCATGGCGACAGTTCGCCTTCTCAACCCTAGGCTTCCTTGGAAGCCCTCAGTCTACTGCGAAGAAACCCAAGGCAAACCCAAACCCTCCTAAACCCTAAACCCTAAACCCCCCTTAACCCGAAGCACCCCTCGGCCCGAAACCCTACAGCTCGCAGTTGAAAGAATCGGGGGGCTGAAATTCATGTCTGGGTCTTGCCGCTGTCAAGAGCCCATCCGAGCTAAGACTCAGAAGCCACAGTCGTCCTCAAGCTTGCCGGCTCTTCGTAGGGAGTTTGGGAGTGAGGTACTCAACGGATCCCTGAAGGGCTAGCTGTGGGGAAAATAAGGGTACCGCACCTAAATTTTGACTTTTAAAACGAAGAGCTGGTAAGCAAAACTTTGCCAAGGGCTGCTGTGGAGGTGATGCTTAGTAAGGCCTCAACCCTAAACCCTGAAGCCTTAAGCCTTATGTGTCAGCGCCTTTGCCTTCGCTTCCACATCTGCCCACGGGAGAGTATCTAGGGTTTTCGACGCTCTGGCCGTCCAAAGCTTGGAAGGGATGGCACTCGAAGCTCTCCTTTAATTGATGTTGTGCCCAAAAACCCTAAGACCCTAAACCCTTAACCCTACAACCCCCCTTGGAAAACAGGCGCTGAATATTCAGACTGGAGCCAAACGTCAGGCTGGAGCCTTTTCAGGTCTGAGGGGCCTGAGCCCCTGAAGCTTTAAGGCCTTAACGCTGCAGGGCTCCAGGCCCTTTAATCTTCTGCTTGAGACCCCCCTCCGGGCTCCGGATTCTTTTTGGACCACAACGTACAACATACGACCTTGTACAAGCGCAGCTCGCAGGCTACCTGTTTGGAAAATTGTTTGGGGCCTCCTGTCCCAGAGTGGTTTGCAAGAATAGTTTTCTGCAAAGCCCGGTTCCCGGGCTTCTGGGTTTAGGGTTTAGGGTTTAGGGTTTAGGGTGCCCCGGAACCCCTGGGAAATTTGAAGGTGGAAGTTTCAGGCTCGGAGTCCCAGGTCTCAGGATTCCAGGATTCCTGTGGCCTACTCTCCTTCTTCTGATGTTTCCGTTTTGTTAGGGTCCCCGGCCCCGAAGCCTTTTATCATGCCGGGTAAGCCCAAACAATAGAGGTCGCCGATCAAATTCTGGAAACTTCGCATTACAGTGGGGCTGCATACTGAACCGAGCGCATCCTTGCACAATGAGCCTCCTTTCTGAATATTTCATGACGAGAGTTTTTTTATCCCTGGGCCCTTAACCCGAAAGGTGCTGGACTCCCGCTGTGTCTTACTTGGCTGAGTCCTTTCCAAGAACAGAGACAAAGCAAGGCACCTCACGTACCAATGCCAAGGCCCAGGCCAAAACCCATTAAGTTAGCTGCAGCTCTTGAGACTGCGACCCCTGAAGCCTGTACCGTAAGGTTTCGGGTTTAGGGCTTAGGGTTAGGGTTTAGGGTTTAGGGTTTAGGGTTTAGGGTTTAGGGTTTAGGGTTTAGGGTTTAGGGTTTAGGGTTTAGGGTTTAGGGTTTGGGTTTAGGGTTTAGGGTTTATAGGGTTTATAGGGTTTATAGGGTTTATAGGGTTTAGGGTTTAGTGTTTAGGGTTTAGGGACCTAAACCCTAGACTGTAAACCCTAGATCCTAAGCCTCGGTCCCGTCACGGAAGAAACTCCCGTGGCCAAGCTGGAGGCCGAGAACAACAATTTTCAGGATGTCCCTTGCGGGCTCGAAGCTTCCATGTCTAAGCTGATGTCTCCAAACGCTTTCTGTGACAGGGTTAAGGAATATTGGCATTCCCTGCTTGCAGGTGTGTACACATGGTGTCGGTCCAGACCTAGCAGCAGAGTGAGCCTACCCCTAAGTCCTAAACCACTCACTACCACTGAACTCCTGACAAGTCCAACGTGCTCCCTCGCACAAGAAGTTGAACTAAACCAGTAATAGGGATGGCTCAAGTTGACCCGGAAAGTCTGGGGCGAAGCCACCCCAGTTCAACCCTTTGCAAAGCTCCGCATATAATCCCTAAATCTGAAGCCCTTTACCCCAAGCCCTCAACCCTTATAACTGATCATTTACCCTTGAAGCCTGTCAGACCACACCCTGAAACTGAAGCCCTACGCGGCACATGACCCTAAAGCCCCATTCCCTCATGTCCTGCCCGAATGGTATACATTGTGGTTCGGAAGGTCGGGTGTTGCTTCTATGTGGTGATCGAAGAGTCGTATTGAGGGTTTATAAGGTACAGCGGTTGATGTAGAAATGAACCACAAGAGAAGATCCTTTTTTCGTTTTAGGGCTTAAGGATTAGCAGGTTTATAGGGGGGGGGGGGGGGGAGGAGGAGGAGGACACTCAAACTTCCAGGCCGCAAGCAGGTGCTCAGGGCACGTGTTGATGCGTGCATATGCGTGCCACTTCAAAGAGTTATGCCGGTTGGCCCGAGGAAGTCCAGCAAGGCTTCGCCTCAAGATGTGCAGGAATCTGAATCCCTGGAATACCCTTACCAGAAATTGGGGGATGGGCTTACGATACCCTAGACTTACTTTAGGAAGGGACTTAAGTGTGGGTCATAGGCCATGCTGGTTGCAGTAAGCACGAATCCTCAATCCTAGAAGACTAATATAAACCCTCAGCCTCACATCCTCAACGTAAACCCTAAACCCTACGCCCCGAAGACACTAAGATCCGAAGAGCCCCTGCCAGTTAGATTAGACTTAGAGGCTTTTGTTCCGTCTTGCCTGGCGAACAACAGTACATGACCTAGGGTTAAATGCTGTACGGCTACATGTTTGTAGTGTGCATGAACGAGCGAACGAACACAATGAAAAGTAGTGATTCCTTTATTACCCTTATGTTTTTTTAATTTTTTTGGAGCTTATAAGCAAATAGCAGGGTTTGACGGCATCCTGGGCTGGCAGGGACCAGCATGGGAGACGTAGGGTGCGGGTGTTACATCAGAGCTGGGTGCAGTCATGTACTGGGGGACTGGTTAGGGCTAGGGTTTTCCTTGGTGGTCCCCGGCTTGTTCAGCATTTCCGGCCTTGTTTCAGTGGCCTACCTCTCGGGGTGGAGCTATGAATCGTCTCAGCCTTTTCTACGATCCCTTCCGGTCTCCTCTCCGAATCCTCTTCTTTCAAAACCCAACCGTTCTGCTTTTGCGTGAAGAATGGAGAGGCCCCGAACACCGAAACCCTAAACCCCAAAGCCTAAACTCGCGGAGGTTTTGCGGGTAGACGGATGCAGATGCGTCCTCGGAATCGTCCGGTCTCTGCCTGCTTTGATAAGAGCCTTGGTGCTATAACATATTTTACAACATTGTATGGTATTCTAAGATTCTGATCTTCCTATGTTTTTGAGAACGGCGTGTTGAATACTGTGGGCGTCAGGGATCAGGTATTCGCGCGATCCGGGCACACTGGTCTTGAGCGTTACGACCTGCCAGTGCGCAAAGCTATAACCTTAGTAGCTGAGTGAGTACAGTTTACACTTTTTTTGGATACTATAATAATCCCCTATAGAACTGAAAGTGTACACTTTTTTGGGGCTTATGAACTTCAACCAAGTAACAGTCTGTAAGATTGTTTTCTAGAGCGCGAAATTTGGGGTGGTTCCGACAAGTTGTTGGGGTCAAGGGGTTTAAGGTGGTCGTTTCCCATGTTGTGTGGGTTCGTTTACACCCAGGCCCTAATTTTCGGAAGCTCCCATATCTGGACCTCCTGGCCACACCGTCTTTCATCGCCTTCTCTGCACGCTGCCTGGCGCAAGCACACCAGGAAAGGCCGTTCGATGTTGGATGGGACTGCACGTCGATAAGCAGTTGCATGCAAATGGGAGGTTGCAGTTGAGATTGCTTGAATCCTCTGGTCCGGACAGACTCGGACAGCGCGGGATTCAGGATACTCCATGTCTGAAAGAAGCCCACGCTGGCGCGCGTCCCATATTTTCCACGAGCTGCCCCATCATTGCGTAGGCGAGAGTGGTCTGCAACAGGCAGTGGCCAGTGGCCGAAAGTCGGGCTTCAAACACCCTAAACCTGTGCACACCTGCCAAGGCTCCTAAACCCTGAATCGCACTGATATGTGAGGCTTTTCAGGGCGGCTTCTTTCAGATACGCTTGTGTTCATGCTTAGCCTTCTTGGGGTTGCTTAATCTCATGACGAAAGTGGAAGCTGGCTTACCTTCCGACACGAATGCCCGGGAGATTTCGACCCGCGGAGACATGGAAAACGGCCGGGTGTCCATCGAAGCCCTAAACCCTTCTTTAGGACCCCCAGCGGCACTCTTGTTCTTTCCCTGTTCCTCTGTCAACCGATCAGTCAATATAGGAGTTTCCCAGAATAGGGTTACACTTCTTGGGGGGGGGGGGTTCGCTATAATGAGTAAGTATTGCAGATTTTGTTGGGTTATGCTGTTCGGGTACTTTCTCTCTGATGTTTCCACTTGGCATGTCTGGTATTCCCAAGGAGAAAAAACATAGTGCTGCGTGCCAGCCGCAATATATACAGTAATCAGCAAGCCATTATATAGATCAGCATCATCATACATCAATATGGGCACATTGCCGTTTGGCCTGCAACATAGGATTAAAGTGAGCTTACATGCGCATTGTATACATATTCACATGCATATTTATGGGACCTACAGCTAGATTTCTGCGCGGATTCGGCTTACAAGCAAAGTTGCATTGGCATCCCCAGCAGAACTGCACACAGGAAACAAAGCCTCAAGCATGTGTAGGGTTTCAATCACACTGGAAGAAGCGTGTTTCTTAAAGGGGAAGTGGTCATGGCACGAGCGGCTGTGGAAGAGATGAGGCTTGGTCCTAAGCTAAACCACCTCTGCGGCAGTCGGAAAGAACAGTGCACAAGCCAGAGCCCTCGGTGTAGGGTTCAGGGTTTAGGGTTTTAGGGTTTGGGGTTTCAGGGTTTTCGGGTTTACGGTTGAGTCCACGCCTGAGGTCCCGGAGGGGTCTAGCGACGTTGCTGGCGGCCGTTGCCGGTTTGTGTCGCTGGGCCCAGCATTGCAGACCATGCTCAGGATGATGCGAACACCCCAAGAAGTCTCTGTGCCCTCACTGCCTCAGATCCTCAGCCCTGTCAACCCCAAACCCCGTTAACTCCTGAGCTCCGGAAGTCCCAAGCGCTGAATGGCAACTTCGAGTCCTCACAGGGTCGAAAGGAATAGGGCCGAGCTGTAAAGAGTGCACCGGCTCGGCTGGGTTGAGGAGTTCGGGTATGGACCCCCCAAGAACCCAGCGCGAGAGTGGCCGAGAGCTCCAAGATACAAGGTTTCAGGGTTTCAGGGCTTCAGGGCTTCAGGGTTTCAGGGTTTCAGGGCTTCAGGATTTCAGGATTTCAGGATTTCAGGGTCTCAGGGTTTCAGGGTTTCAGGTACCCTTGGGAGTTCAAGGCTGGACTCTCAGGGTCGAGGGTTCCCGAAAAGGTTGTGGAATATGCCGCGCTTCGCTTGTGGCCACGAAGATATGGGACCATCCCTACATAACCTTCAGGGTTCAAGGTTGAGGGTTTAGGAGTCCAAGGGTTTAAGGGTTTAGGGGTTCAGGGTTTAAGGGTTTAGAGGTTTAGAGGTTTTGGGCGGTGGGGTATAAACCTCTTGCGCCACCAGCGCAGTCCGCTCCGTAGCAAGCGCCAAGCCAGCAAGCAAGAGCTCTGCGTTTGAGGCGTTGTTGGGCCCTTCTTGGTGCGGGGGTGCATTGCCAGCTCAGCATTGCAGGGCTTAGCTCCAAACCCCTCAATCGTAAAATCCTGGAATCGTAAAACCCTAAACCCCAAACCCTAAAAAGCCCCCAAGCCCCTCAGTTTTGGGGAGTCCTAAACCCTAAAAGAAGCAGGCCTTGGGAGCTGGCTGGAGTCTGGAGCCCGGCCTTGAAACCACCTGAAAACTGGAAAAACATGAGGGTTGAGGGTTTCGGGTTTCAGGTTTTGGGGTTTAGGGTTTAGGGTTTAGGGTTTCGGGTTTAGGGTTTCAGGTTTTGGGTCCAGGGTTTTTGGGTTTTGGGGTATCGGGCTCAGGGCTCAGGGTTCTTGAGGGCCTTGACAGGGTTGAAGCATTGAGGGAGGGGTTGAGGGGAGACTTGTGGACAGCTGGCTGCCATTAGGCTACGCACGCGCTTAAGACGGAAGGGCTTTGATGGCAGGTCTCTCGAGCATATCTGACCGGCTGCCAAGCCTTAGAGGGTTTAGGGCGGAAGCCATTCTGATGCATCCCCTTGCATTCTTTGTAGTTGCGCATGATGTTGAACACGAAGCCCTAAAAGGGGGGTCGGGCCTAGCATCCCTGCATGCCCAATACCTACATTCACCTCCCCCCCCCCCCCCCCCCCTAGAGCACCCTGAGTGTCAAAGCCTGAGGCGGTCTGCCTGCTTCACGCTGCCACTGCTGAGCTGGCGCTCCTTCACGTATCTTGGGGTGTTGGATCTGATGTTTAGGCTCTGGCTTTAGGAGCTGTGGGGCATGCGGGCAGACAAGAGGTGGGGTTTAGGGCTGGTTTGCTTGGTTCGGGTGTTTGTGGTAGCCATTCGTGAGGGGTTCTGCACTGGATGCTCTTTTCAATTGGGAAGTGAGGGGGTTGGGGTGAAGGCTTCCAGTCCTGTCGCTTGTTAAGGCGCCGTCTGAGTAGAGGGTCAAGAGCTGACTTCGTGGCACCGGCCACTAAACCCTTGCTTTGAAGATGCCAGGGACGGCCCGGCTGGGACCTTGTCTTCAAGCTGGAGGACGAGCAGTTGTAATGTCAAGTCTCCCTCAACCCTAAACCCTAAACCCTAAACCCTAAACCCTAGAAGTGCGCGTAGGATGGGCTCGGGTGTTTTGTGAGTTTCCAGCTGAGGCTTGCCGATGTATCGGGCTGCTTCTTCTTGATTCTGGGTGTAGTGCTTGCATGGCTGTTTAGGGTTTAGGGTTTAGGGTTAGGATTTTTTTTTTGGGGGGGGGGGGGAGGAAATAGCTGGGTGGAGCACAGGCTTCTGCTCGCTTGGATCTGAGCTTCCCCATGGCCAGTTCGTAGGTCAGGGCCTACAACACACAACTTCCCAGCCCCGAAAGAGCACGTTGGGTCTTACGTATAGGGCTCCTAAACTAGTAATTGCTTAAGAATTTTCCATTTTTTGCTAATCATCCTTATAAGGGCAATATAGGGATTTGTTTTTATTCTTTCGGGGTTCTCAAGCATAAATAGTAGTGAAGTATCGTCAAGATGACAGGACTGGCAGCCCTCTAGCTCAGCTTTCAGGAAGGCGCGCACTGCTTTTACCATGAGCCCTACTCATCTTGAAAGCCCGATGCTCCCAAAACTTTCATGCAGCCTTCGTGTTCCCATTTTGAAGGTCACGGGCTTGTTTCGGACGTTCGTTGCAGCGGCCTTCCATTCTGAGGGGTGCCGAGATAAGATGCTGACAGCAAGAGCAATGAAGCGTCGCCACGGTCGGATAACAAGGAGCACCAGTTGCGCCACAACGAGAACCTATACACCTCTTTCGCCCCCTCGTATCACTGCAGACGCGGGTCTTCGGGCGCAACCGCCTTGAGGTCGATCCCGCCCGGAATCCTGGAGGTTGCAGATACGAACCCTGCAGCCCTAAACCATAAACCTGCCCTAAAACCTAAACCCTAAAGCCTAAACCGGTTCAGAGATGCTTTGGTAACCGGACAGTTGGCGTAGAGTTATACGCGTGTAGGAGTTTGGGCCCAGGACTTGTGGCGCTTCGTACGGTTCAGGTTCAGGCCTTTCCTCCGCGGCTACGGGTTTGGGGTTCACGGTTTAGGGTTCAGCGTGCTCCATATCCTAGGCCCATCTCTCCAGATCCTACCGGCTCGACTTAGTGAACTGACTTCACGCGTGCCGAGGTTGATCGGCAATGAGGCCCCTCAGTTTACGGTCAAGGCGCCATTTGAGAGTCAGGGACTGGAGGCACCTGATAGCGGACAGGTGCCCAAATTTGCCCACTGATGCTGGTGTGCCCTAAACCCTAAACCCTAAACCCTAAACCCTACACCCTAAAGTTTCAAATCATGCAAACGGTGTAGGGTGTAGGGTTTGATAAGGCTATGAGTCGGTTGAAAGACCGACCCCCCAAGAAAAACCGTCCAACCCTAGATCCTCGACTTAAGGCGTGCCCGCAGCTATCAGACTCGCCACCCCACCACTCCTGGGAGTCGGGCTTTTAAGGGCTTAGGGTTGTTCAGGGTCTAGGGTTTAGGGTTTAGGGTTTAGGGTTTAGGGTTTAGGGTTTAGGGTTCGGTGCTTTCCGCTTTGAGGGAAGGACCTAAGGAATTCCACCAACCAACCCCAAGCCCTGCGGACCCAAGAGCTGCAGGCCGTGGTGGATCAGGAGTTTGTAGACGTCTCGCTGGCGGACTACCGGGGCAAGCCCGGAGCCTCAGAAAAACTCGATTGCGAGTTTTTCGGGAATGGAGCTTCGGGGTTCCGGCTTGGCCAACAACCATCATCTCAAATCTGAAAGTCCATCCAAGACTGACCTCCGTGTCAAGAGGTGTCAGGTTTTTGGGGTTTGGCGTTAGCATGTGGGCTGCAGGGTAGGGCTGATACCCGAGTACCAGTAGGGGCTATGAGCAGCTAAGGTGCAGGAGTGGCGTGGGTTTATGTGAGGTGTCCTAGGTGCATGTGGGCTTAGCCCAAATTACCCCAAGTATTCAATGCCCTTTCTGAGAGAAGTACATGAATCTCAAGATCCATCGGCTTCATCTGTGTTGTGAGCCCCAAGCTCCCACGCGAAGCGAATCGCCTATCGGGTCCCTGAACAAAGTCACGCTCGAAAGATGGATAGTCATAGCCCCGCCTGCGGGCCCAACTCTCCATACCTTGGTTCATGAGTCCCGTTCACTCCTTGAAATTGAGAGATAAGTTTCAATGGTGTTGAACCCTTTCTTGCTTCCGAAAGATTCCGTTGTTACAGGAGAGAGTCGTACTTGCAATCCCTAGTCTATGTCATATCTGCAGCCCTTGTTGAGGCTCATTGTTGCTTGGCCATGTTTTCCTCTATGTAACAAAAAGGTATGTGGTTCTTTTCTTCTACCCCCTGGACTTCACCTTCGTGTGCCCTACCGAGATCATCGCGGGCCCGCCCTGTTTGAAGACCTGCATGGTGAAAACTTCAGCATCCAGTACCTCAAGCCCTACACTTCCTGGTTCCTAGTCGACAATGAGGGCATAAGGTATCCCATATCCTCCTATATATTGCCAGGGTGCTTCATTCCTTCGTCCCCTACTAAAAACCAGCAGGCAAAACCCAAAAGCCTTGCCCATGCCCTTCTGAAAACGGGCATGCGCAAAGGTCGTCCATAGTGACCTGAGCAGCCCCTTCTTTGTACCTGAGACGCGGCTCATGTTTGCAGACGGGCTTCTGGTGTCGAAGAGCCGTACATCGTTGGTTGCGAAAGCTGGGAAACTCAACACTGAACCCTGCAAGACCTAAACCCATACTCAAGCCCTACTTTGGGGTTACATCCTAAACCATCGAAGCCCAAACCTTCCTCCCAAGTATGTTGATTCATACCAGCCTTGTGACCATGAGCAGCTTGTACATTCCAGAAAGTTGCAAGCGCAGCTGCGTCAGGCTTTTGAAGTGGGAAGCTCAATCCAGAATGTCCAATCCCCATACCTCCCTCCACCCAGAATCTCCAATCCCTACACTTCCCTCTCTCCCTCCCCCCCACCAAACCCTGAAGCCTAAATGCCTGAAAGACCCCAAAAGAACCTAAAAACCCCTAACGCTCTGAAGGCCTGAAGGCCTCAGCCGTCGCACAAAGCCCGACGCCCGAGCTTTGCCTGCAGCGGCTGCCAGGCGTTCTCGGATCGCGTTGAGGAGTTTCGTGAGCGAGATGCCGAGGCTGGCCAGCGAGGTAAACCCTAAACCCTAAACCCTAAACCCTAAACCCTAACCCCTGAATTAGGCTTTGCAAGGTTCAGGGTTCAAGGTTAGTCAAAGGGCTTGCTGATGCAAGGTCTGAGAGCTTTGGGCGTTGCAGGGTTTGCTTTTTAGGGTTTGTCTTGCGGATTTCGGAATGGCCTCTGGCCCTGTTGGTATTCAGGCGCTGAAGGCAGATAGGGTTTCCGGATTTAGGGCTTATGGGGCTCGGTTCGGGCTTAAAACGGTTCAGCTCGTAATTTAACCCGCAGTTCTTGCGGGGGTGGCTTCCACTTAGTGTACGGCCTTGGAAGCTTAGCATGAAGTGCTAGGCCTGTTCTCCAAGCCCTCGCACTGCGTTTAGGATTCTTGTGCCCGAATCCCGAAATCCTAACTCTTACACCAGATGTGGTGCAGTGTAGACTATCGCAAACTGGGCTCAGGACTTAGCTCAACCAACATGTCCTCTAGTTTCCCCCTCAACCCGATAAAGCCACCCAAGCTCCTAGTCCCACCCCTGAACCCGAAACCCCAAAACCCCACGAAACCCCCCCAAGCCGTAAACCCTAAACACTAAACCCTAAACCCTAAACCCTAAACCCCGTAAACCCTAAAGCCAAAGCCGCGACAGGTGCTGGGTGTATCTGTGGACTCCGAGTCACCTGGCCGAGGGATCGGCTTCTGGGTTAGGGTGTAGGGTTTAGGGTTTAGGGTTTAGGGCTAGGGTTTAGGGTTTAGGGTTTAGGGTTTAGGGTTAGGGTTAGGGTTTAGGGCTGAGGTTTGGGGTTTAGGGTTTAAGGCTCGGGGCCTAAGGCTTAGGCTTACGGTTTCGAGGCAGAACCCAAACCCATTCAGTCTACAAGCCCCAAGCCCTAAACCACTATCCCGAAGCCGGGCAGCCCTGAAACCGTAACCCTAACCCCCCCCCCCCCCAACTCTTAACTTGTGAACGTCAAGCCACAAACTCCGAACCCTGAACCCCCCTTTGGTCGAGGGGCAGGTTGAAGGATCAGGGCTGAGGGTTTATGGTTTACCGAGTTGTGGTTTTAGGCTGACATGTTTAGGGAGGGCACTGTGGAAGACGAATGAGCTCAACTCCAAGACACTACAAACACCCAGTATAGGGTCGATCCCAACCCTAAGCTCCCTCCATGTTCTTTCCTGGTAGGTGTTTGACAAGCAATCTCAGATCCCCCTGAATGGCAGCTCATTCTCAGATCCCCCTGAATGGCAGCTCATTCGTGTGAATGCTTAAGTTCCTGAGTGCAGCAACCATAAACTTAGGTAAGCCCCCAAAGGAACGTCAAGCAATGCTAGGTTCTCCCATCTGGCTTGGATCCAGATGACGCGCGACGAGGGTGGCTTAGGCACCTTGATGGATGGCCAAACTATCCGAGTAAGCAGGTCTGGGGTTTCAGACCCCCGTGACTGGATCATGCATGCAACCTTGGTTGCAGAGACCATCAATCCCAGATGCAAGGTTCTTATACCAGACCTGAAGTGTCACAAGTTGGCTTCAGCTTTTGGGAGTTGTGCATCACGCAGGAGGGAAGCATCTCGGCCCCACCCCCCCCCCCCACCCGCCCCATGAGCGCAGCATCTGAGTCTTAGTATGCATGGTTCTGCATTTTCCTTCCACATCTTGGTTGAAGTGTTTTGGAGAGAGTGTTGTAGTTTAGGTTAGGATGGAAGAAGCTTTGGCCCTGTAGCAACTTTCTGCAGCCTTTGTTGCTCTTCCCCCACAAGGTGGATGCAGGGCTTATGGCTTATGGTTGAGCTACAGGAATACCAGAAAAGCCTCTGTTCTGCAGGAGACATCGAATATCCGCTCTTGTCGGACCCAGTTTGCGTCTTGCGTTTTGATGCTTTCCAGGGTTGCACGGGGTCACAGACATCATCAGTGGGAGTGTCATTGCTGAAGGGTCCCAGGCAGCATAGGAAGCGTAATCATGAACTTGCCGAAGAACAATATTCGCTGCAACGACGCTGGCTTCAGAGTGTAGGAAGTGTAGGGCATGTTGTTCGCCATTTGTGATTTTTGGAGTTGTGGGCCCCCTATTCCCTAAACCCTAAGCCCTGCCACGAGCTCAAATGCAGGGCTCAGCCGCATGCAGAGTTGATGGCTTTCCCTTCAGTTTTCGCTGAACTCGAAGCTCGGCGCAGCCTACCTAAATACTACACACCACAAACGCTACTGTAAACCTTGCCCGGAAAGAACGTGCGTGAACCCTTAATTGCGGGCTTCATCCCAACCTACTTGCCCTACTCTTGCAGGACCTGAAAAAGGACCTTGCCACCTCCTATGGAGCTGGGAGCCCGGAAGTAAGTTCTGGGAGGTACCGAGCTATAAGGCCCCTTTCATAATGGTCCCACGAATGACACACGAATTCCACGAAAGGTTCTGGCGCCTGATGGCGCCTCCTACCGTGGACTCTTCATCATCGACAAGGAGATCTTCCTGAAAAAAACCCTTGCCCTTCACCCCTCCGTCCCCGCCCCCCGAGACCCCCCCCCCCCCTTGAAGGCCGGAAATACGAATCCAGGGTACACCAACACTTGGAGCTTCTGCACTTCTAGGAGGGTGTGGTGCAGCACTCGACTATCAACAGCAACGCTTTCGGACGCAACGTGGATGAGGCCGGCAAGTGTCCTTCAACGATCAGGGTTCCCTTGTCGTGCTGACTTGATGAAGTGATCCTACCCCCACCAACACAACATACAAGCGCAACAGTCCCTGCGACAGAGACTTCCTTCAACCAGGAGAGGGTGAGTGAGCCAAGTGGGGTTTTAGATGTCCGGGCCTGCATGAAAATCAACGGGTGGAGCTAGAGTTGACTTTAGGCTCCCAAAAGTGATTCTTCCCTTGACTGCAAACTTAAACCTGGCCTTCTCTCCCTCTCTCTCACTCTCTCTCTCTCTCTCTCTCTCTCTCTCTCTCCCTCTCTCTCTCTCTCTATTTGCTCTGTGCTGCGCAGGCAAGACCACATCAGAAGTCGTTAAGAAGTGGAAGTGTTGTTCGGCCTGGCAGGGGGAGTCTAAGCATATCGAGAACTTAGAGACCGCTCCGGAATCCGCAGGTCATCCGAGTCCTGGACGCCATCAAGTATGTCCAGGAGAACCCGGATGAGGTGTGCTGTTGATTCTCGATTTCCAGCTTTAGAATTGAGACTGCCCTAGCCATGCAGAACTCCTTTCAACATATACTTGGGAGGATGTTGTCAGAGCACGAGAGGCAACCCAGTCCAAAGGGCGCACTTCGAGATTCGTGCTTAGTGGGAGCTCTAAGCTCTTGAAATCCCTCGTTGTAAGAAATTTGGAAGGTTGCAAGGTTTCAGTTCTAAAACGGCGAGGTGATCATGGGAGGATCCTGGCCTAGAGTGCCCTCAGCCCGCATCTTCGAGGGGCTTGCAAGAATCCTCCACCGAAGGTGTGTCCAGCTGGCTGGCAGCCAGGAGTGCGCTGCCAAGACGGCTTTTGTGAAGATTTCGGGATTCTGCCTGGGGGCAAACCCCGAACCCCAACTCCAAACCCAACCGCAAACCTAAACCCAAAAAGCCTGGCGGGCACCTCGATCCGACCCATTGCGTCAGGGTTGAGGGTTAGCAAACCCTGTGTGTACTTCAGTTTGTAAGTCACAGCACAGCACAGGCACTGAAACAGCCACACCTAAGGACAAAACCATGCGGCCCGATTTCGAGGGGAAGAGAGAGACACCTGGCAGCAGATGCTGAAGGGTTGTGGGGCCGACTGTTTGATTTTTAACAGTGAGAAGTAGTAGAAAAGACTTCAAATTATATATGTATATATATATATATGTTATATATATACATATGTTATATATATATATGATATATATATATGTTATATATATATATATATGTTATACATAAATATATACATCTATATATATATATATGTTATATATATATATACAGTAGCAACCGAGTCGGGAAGCTGTAGACATTTGGATAAGAGCCGGTGATCATTTGAGAAGCCCCTATCCCCAAAGGCTTAAAAGCCCCCAAGCCCCCTGGAATACCCTAAACCTTAAACCCTAAACCCTAAACCCCAAACCCTAAACCCTAAGCCCTAAGCCCTAAGCCGTAAGCCCTAAACCCTAAACCCTAAACCCTAAACCTGAAGCCTGAGGTACTTCAAAGACATGTGAGACCTCCTGGCAGTGGGGGTGCAGCCAAGTGGGCCTATTCTTTTTTCGAAAAAGTGGGACTGACAGCGAGAATGCAGAAAACGTTTGAAATTCAAGGTGTGGACCCCCTGCTACATACCTACATCAGCGCAATCCCCATGTTCAGAAAGTTTGACCCTGCAAGTCAGTACTGTACTAAGCACCAGGAAGGTTGAAGACAGCAAATATTATGTCCCGGTGCGGGTTCAATGGCCGAGGGAAGCAGTCCGAAGTGCATTGGCCGATGGCAGTGAACACCTACTCGTATGGTCTGGCAGGTATGCTCATTTTCAGATGGGGTAAAAATGCTCATTATAAGATGCGGTGTGTTGCAAGCTTCGTGTTCACTTGTGCCTTATGTGACTCTTGTGAAACTTAGAAGTCAGAGGTGGGTATTGTGATGCCTGTCGCTTCACCTCGATGCCCGCTTCCCCAAATCTTCGAGGGTTTTCTTCAGGGCTTAGGGTTGAGGGCGATCAGGGATGGAGTGGTGGTCGACGTCTGCTCTCGCTGTTGGCTGCACGCAAAATTATGAAAGAGTCTGTTCCCGATACCGTTTCGTTCCAATCTGACGCAGGGCGTCGGATACCGACTATTCGTGATCTTTAAAAGGTAGCCCTAAACCCTAAACCCTAAACCCTCAACCCTAAGCCCTAGGCCCTAAACCCTAAATAACCATCCTGGGCCAGGTGCATTTCCTCCCTATATCATTCTCAAAGAAATCAGTGGGACAGCTGCCCCGAAACCCTGACCTCCCAGCCCGTTTGGTAGCTGACATCTTGTCAGGCATCTTGGACTGAATCCTGGTTTTAGGGGGTTTAAGGGCAGACTTTATGTTTAAAACAAAGGAGAGTAAACATGCGAAAGCTGGCGGTGTGAGAAAAGAAGCGCCCGTGCGGGAGGAACTGGTCTGCGTTTTGTGGAGCACCAGGTGGAGGCAGCTAGGAGATGCCGGTTGCTCTGAATTGCGGACCCTTTTCAAACCAGAAGTGAGAAACTCAGGCAGGGACCATCATTTTAGATTAACCCTCCCCTCCCCCCCCTCCGCCCCCACATGTTGCGGAGCCTTGCTACCCGTCGTTTTCTGGGCTCTCAGCCGCCCGCCTGCATGAACTCTCGACACCTTGGCATGCAAAAGGTTCGTCCGGGCCCCAGTTCGCCAGGGATGGACTGCCACCAAACATTCCCCCTTTAAGCTGCGCCCAAATTCAGGGTCAAGAATGCTCCTCGCGTTTAGGGTTGGGGATTTCAGAAATGCCAACCCAGCTCTTGACGAGACATAGACGGTCTTATTCGATGTCACATTGGGGAAGCGTTTCCGATGGAAGGAGCAGGTTGGGCGGTTTTTTCGCGCTCTATGGCCGAGTCGCCCATGTAGGTTGTGAGATGGTCTGGAAAGGATCGCCAAGGGTTCCTCAGTTTGCTTTCACGAACTCCAAGCATGAAACAGAAGCTCAATTGGCCAGCCTGGCTTCTGAAGGTTCTTACAAAAGCCTGGGAATGGCACAACTAGTTAAGAGCTGCGTGCGCCAACCTGATTTCCTCAAGGGACGAGCGACTAATCGAGATTGGATCCTGAGCCCCGGTCGCTACACCGCCCCGCACGGTGAGAATTGAGATCATCGATGGCGTGCAGTTTTGGGTTTCGATTTTAGTTTGTAGGGTCTGCCAACACATTCTCAGGCCCCAAGACGACGAAGTCCAGTGATGCGCCATGGCCCGGGCGCTCGAAGAGTTCATTTGGGCTTCTAGACCGGGCCCAGGGCTTCCTGGGTGCGAGACCTCCGCTGCGCAGCAAGCGTGGAGCCCTTAACCCCCGAATGCTAAGCCGATAGGTGCTGGGTAGACCCTTGGGATGAGAGAGAGAGATATATATATATATATATGATTCAGCCCCGGCGGGCCCCCCCCCCCTCCCCCCCCCCCCCCCCCCCCCCCCCAATGGTACCCCCCCCCCCCCTGTGGTGTGGGGGGGGTTTTAGGGTTTTAGGGTTTAGGGTTTAGGGTTTAGGGTTTAGGGTTTTAGGGTTTTAGGGTTTTAGGGTTTAGGGTTTAGGGTTTACGGTTTAGGGTCTTAGGGTTTAGGGTTTAGGGTTTAGGCTTTAGGGTTTAACGCGCGGATGGGGTACTAAGATGATCCCCCCCCCCTGTGGTGTGGTTGGGTTGGTTTGGGGTAGGGTTAGGGTTTAGGGTTAGGGTTTTAGGGTTTAGGGTTTAAGGTTTAAGACTTAGGTTTAGGGTTAGGGTTAGGGTTAGGGTTTAGGTTTTAGGGTTTAGGGTTTAGGGTTTAGGTTTAGGGGTTTAGGGTTTAGGGTTTAGGGTTTAGGGACGTAGAGTAGACTGGGGGGGGGGGGGGGGGGGGGGGGGGGGGGGATACCATGGGGGGGGGGGGGCCCAGGACGCTCGACGCTGAACCATATATACATATTTTTCCCTCATGTTGGTTTAAGAGGATCATATACATGAATAGCTTTCTGAGGGTCTTAAGCGCCATCCTAGGGTGGTAGAGCTTGCACTTAAGGGCTCAAACTCCAGTCTATGCCGAAAGGGCAAAGTTTGGTGTTCGGGGGCAGGGCTTAGAGATGTTTAGGATAGGAAAACTAAGTCGCCACAGCAAACACGTCGAAGCAGCCCCCCCCCCCCCCCTCAAAGAGCCCAGCACCCAGTCGCCCTAAGCTCCGCACCTGGCACCCATGAAGTTCAGCCCTAAGCCCTCACTTTTCAAACCTCCTAAGTCCTCTACCTGGACCCGACACCTCGACACCCCCCTCCCCCCCTTACTAAACCCCCAAACCCTAAACCCTAGAACCCTAAACCCTAGCCCCTAACCCCTAAACCCGAACCCCCAAACCCTGCTCTCCGGAAGGTGGCTGCCTCCACCCAGAGCTCGGCCAAAGCGATGCACATCGAGGCGCGGCTCAGGGGGGTTTAGGGGGGCCAGGGGGGTTAGGGGGGCTGCTAGGGGGGTTTAGGGTTTAGGGTTTAGGGTTCAGGGTTTAGGGTTTAGGGTTTAGGGGGGGTTAGGATTTAAGGGTTTGGGGGGGTTTATGCAAGATGTCATCGGACGTCCCATGTGAGAAGAATTAGGGGGCTTGGGGTTTAAGGGTTTTGGGGGGGTTTAGGGAGTTGGCGGTTCAGGGGGGTTCATGGGGTTTAGGGGGCTTCGGGGGCTTAGGGGCTTGGGGGCTTAGGGTTTAAGGTTTGGGGGGTTAGGGAGTTGGTGGTTTAGGGTTTTGGGGGGTTTAGGTGTTCAAGGGTTTCAGAGTTTAGGCATCAGGGCGTGCCAGTGCGCCCATCTTCCGAATGCATCCTTGCCTAACATAAGTACGTCCGAGCAACCAGCACCCTTTCCTCGGCTTGCTAGGTTTCAGAAGCTACAACATCATCACAGGTTTGGGGGTGCAGAACTTATAGGGTTTAACAGTTTGTGAGGGAAGTTTCCTGTGAGGTGCTTCCCAGTTCATTCCAGTTGCACTTCCAAACTACCCCCCCCCCCCCAGTTGCCCGAAACCCTAAGCCCACGGTTTTCAGGACGGCCGGCCTTCACATCCAGGTTAGGCCCCCCCCCAAAGGCCCGAATCCCCGAACTCGCAAACTCCTAAACCCTGGACTGCGAGCTTCCGGCCTGGCCAGGTCCACAGCTACAATGGGACCACGTTCAGGCCTGCTGCGCCGGAAGAAGTGCGGCCGAGTAGTTGGGCTTCAAAATCCGCAAGTCAATCTCCAAGCAAGCCACACACATACGCACATACAGACAACATGCCGTTTGAAAACTAGCTCTTCGTCCCTGGTGCTGGAGCGTTCTCATCTTCAGGCCCCAGCAGAGTATCTTAAGTGCAGTATCTACAGTCTACCACACGGCCCCTCGAGGAGCGCTGTTGCTGAAACTCAAGGGCGTCGGGCAAGCTACGAAGACGTCGGACCCCGAGTTATACCCCCTTCGTGCTCGGAGTCAAAGTCCACGTTTGTATAGACAAGTCTTGGGGGCGACGGGGGGGTTTAAAGGGTTTAGGGTTTAGGGTTTAGGGTTTAGGGTTTAGGGTTTAGGGTAGGGAACCTCAAGCCTGAATTCCCTCATCCAAACAGCCGCAACCACCCGAGGAAGGTCCACCCAGAACACTTCCAGCCGTGCCACCCCGCAGTGGATGTTTCCAGCGCTCTTCCCACAAATCTTCGATGAACCAACCACGAGGTCTTGTTGGCGACTTTCGGCAGTCAGGGTCTAGGATGCTCAGTAGTGCGCTTCTTCCCTTTGCTTGAGGTCAGGTTCCCGGAGCCTTTTCCTTGTCACTTGGGCATCCTAGGTCCTCTATCTTATTAAAACCCCTGCCGCCCTTTTTACTTAGGTTCTGGATCAGACTGAGGGTTGGTACTCGTTTTTTTTGGGGTTTGTGGCCTTCAGAGTCCCAACCAGACCCTCAACCCTCTCTAGACCCTGGACTCTGTAGGCCCTGTAGACCCAAAGACGACTCCCCCGCAGAACCGTGGGCACAGCTTCCCCCCTGAGGCTTATGCAATCACCTCTGAAGGACAAACCGCATTCTTTTGGGTCCGGACCTGAGCTGAAAGGACATTCTCGGGGATCTGGGGTTGCAGGGCCTATTTCTTGGTTTAGGCGGCCCCCTAAACCCTAAACCTTAAACCCTAAACCTTTAAGCCCTTGTTTCTAGGGCTTCTGCTTCAGGCACCTTGCGCCCGCATGCCACGCCTGAGTCATACAGGAGAGAAAGGGGGGCATTCGATGCGCCACACTCCAAAGACAAAGCTGCATTCCGTTGAAGTGTGAACGGGCCTCAGTGTTCCTAAACCCTAAGCCCCAAACCCCGAACCCCGAACCCCAAACCCTAAACCCTGAACCCTGAACCCCAAACCCCAAACCCCAAACCCCAAACCCTAAACCCTAAACCCCAAACCCTAAACCCTAAACCCTAAACCCTAAACCCCAAACCCTAAACCCTAAACCCTAAACCCCAACCCCTCGCAACCGCATCATGTCCAAGGTTTTCGATGGGCATCGTGGGGACTGTGCTTCCCGATTCGTCGCCGAGCTATTCTCCTCCAAGGCTCTCCTGCTGCTTTCTTGAGTTTAGGGTTTAGGGTTTAGGGTTTAGGGTTTAGGGTTTAGGGTTTAGGGTTTAGGGTTTAGGGATCAGGGTTCAGGGTTTAGGGTTCAGGGTTTGTAAGGTTTTAGGTTTACAAGGTTAAGTTAAGGGTTGCAGATCTTTTGGGGCCCGTTGCTTTCGTCAAGCATCCTGTCAGTTTGCGAGTGCGATGGAGAGCGAACTCTCGGGGCAAAGACCTCCAATCGAAAGAAGGGGAGCCCAAACCCTCTAAACCCTCTAAACCCTCCAAACCCTCTAAACCCTCTCAACCCCCTAAACCTCCTGAACCCTCCAAACCCTCTAAACCCTCTCAGGCCCTAAACCCCCTGAACCCGCTAAACCCTCTAAACCCTCTCTAAACCCTCTCTAAACCCTCTCTAAACCCTCTCTAAACCCTCTAAACCTAAACCAGCCTGCAGGAATTCAGCCCCACAAAGAACAAGCTTCCGTCCGACAAGCGCGAGTCTCCATTGCTTAGGGAGGGCGTCGGGTTGGGTCGGGGTGTTTTTTTGGTGGTTTAGGGCTTTCGGAGTTCAAGAGATTTTTGGGGATCAGGGTGTGGAATTTGGAGGGTGTTTTAAAGGATTTCCTCAAATAGCCGAGCAGACCGATCCCGTTTTCGAAACTGCAGATCCAAAATACAGGCAGGGTTGGTTTCAGGGCTACCATATAAAGAGGCCCAAGCCATTCAGCGCTTTGGGCTTAAGGCGTATCCAGCGAGCCTTTACGACGGTGGATGATCGACTCCGGAGCTACCTGTGCCCGGCGCCCAGCAGCTGACCTGTGCAGAGCTTCTGTCGTTCAAGGATTTGGGGGTGGAAGGTTTAGGGTTTAGGGGTTTAGGGTTTAGGGTTTAGGGTTTAGGGTTTAGGGTTTAGGGTTTAGGGTTTAGGGGGGCTGTTTTGTATAGCACTGAGGGTTTGGGCTTGCTCGGTCCTTTCCGTGTGCTGTGCCGGCCTGGGTCCTGGGCCTCCTACCGAACAATCGGTGCCAACTTGTGTGGGTTGGGGCGGCGTCATGAATTTGGCGCACATGCCACAGCACAGGTCCCGTGGTGATGTGGAAGGTATAATTTCTCATGACGCGCCCGAAGCTTCAGCCCTAAACTCAAGCGCCTGAGCCCCCCTATAAAAAGCCTAGACCTGAGCCTTAGGATGTTCCCCTTATACTAACAGTCCTTAATAGGGATTATAATAGAAGTACTCTAATCCCAATTAAGGACTGTTAGTATTGAGAGGAACATCCCAACCTGAACCCCAAGTCCGAAAGACCTCAGGAGCGCCCTGACGGTAAGAAGTCATTGAGTCATTGAATCATAAAGGGTAGGTTTAGGGTTTAGGGTTTAGGGTTTAGGGTTTAGGGTTTAGGGTTTAGGGTTTCGGATAGAGTACAGTGCCCAAGGACTAAACCCTGCACGAATGCTAAGACCTCTATTTCCCAAGCCCCTGAACCCCTTCTCAATGATACGCTCAACACCCAGAACAGCCCGCACAACCCTAAACCCAACAAAAACCTTTCCAAGGCGAAGGCGGGTCTGGGTCGAACGCGGGGAGCACCGCGGTGGGCGCTTTGGTGGCGCGCAACCGTCTGAGTCCCAGAGAGGGTTATTGGTGAGGTGTACGGGTTTAGGAGTTTAGGGTTTAGGGCTTGGAGGTGTTTAGGAGTTGGGTTTAGCATGGGGTGTGGGGGTTTAGCAGTCAGGGGCTTTTCGGTTTAAGGGTCGGGTTCCTGTTTCTCTGATTTCGTGGTAGTTAGTGGAGTGGGGCGGGTTCGATTTACGGGGCTCAGAGTACCTTTTGTTCGGCCAGGGGTCTAGGGTCGGCCTTGTTTCTGTTGGGGACCACAGTTTGTGGCTTTGGTTATGGTCACGTATTCCTTGAGTCCTTCAGTCAGGGGTGGGAGATACTGACGGATGCTTCTGGCAGCTTGCCGGTTGTGCATCTTGCAGAAAGCATCAGATTCCTACATCAACCACTGCCAAGCAAGCCGATATCCGAAGTCCCAAACTCACACCGGGAATCCGAGACCCTAATCAAATCGGAGACCCTCCCCTCAAACCTTACACCCGAAACTCTGCAAACCCCCGACCAGAAACCCGCAATAGGCGACGGCTCCTACGCGGCCAAGCTTGTGAACTGCACGGTGCCCAAGCTCTCCGGCAAGCGGACTAGGGTTTAGGGTTCAACGCCCCTCCTTCCTGCACTACACTAGATTCTGGAGCCTTTTGGGCCATTAGCACCTGCTCCAAACTTATGCGAGGAAGAAGATAGCATGTATCCCATGCCGATTGAGTCAAGGGGCTTGGCCGCGCTGTACGAAGCAATGTCTGCTCCCGTTCACGAGCGTGCTTTAAGTGCTGGAGTAACTGTGGGGCGTAGGACATGTGGGCTTCCGAAATCTTCGCTCAATCGGCAGTTGCCACTGCGTAGTTGCCTGGATGGTTGCATGTTCGTCCAAAACTTGCACCTTTGCAGTACCCCCGGAATGTGCTGCGAGTTCCTTGCGGAGATGTGGTTCCGAATCAGGTGGAGACTCGCGGTGCGTGGTGATCCACGCACCGGAGGAGGATGAGATGAGCGCCAAAGTCCCAGAGAGGTCTGTCATCATTCTGTCCGTACGTAGGTAAGTCTGACAAAGACCCGAAACAAGAGCTGCAGATCGTCAAATGCCGGTGCTAAGGGAGTCATGGGCCGTGGGCTTTCAACGGCTTTTTGAAGCTCAATGTTTGCTGGGCTGTGCAGCCTTCAATGTCTGTTAAGCCACAAGCTGGACCAGAATGCTCTGAAGCTGGTGGGATCTTCCTTTTGTCCCCTGGCATTTCCTGGGATAACCATTCGAAGCCCCAGTGCTGGAAATGCCCAGGCAGCCACAATCCAAGTCAAATTGCCAAAATCACTGGAATCTTTCCGCTGCGGCCCCAGATGCGTTCTTCCCTAAGCCCTAAACCCTAAGCCCTAAGCTCTCCCCTCTCTGATCACGGTCTTGGTCTTTGGGGGTAGTGAGTCGCGATGTGATTTACTGCTAGGACCCGTGTCTTGGAGAGTTTTTCGGCCTCAGTGAGAGGATCTATACGGTTCTGGGGCTTGGCGGGTCTGATCCGTCTCTTCTCATTCTTCCTCTATGCATCTCTAACCCCCCCCTCCCGCAAACCAAATTGTGGCGAGTGTTCTTGAACCTGAACCCTGGCCACGTCGAAGGATAAGCAGAATGCATGTCGGGCAGGACTTTCTTTCCTAGTACGCGAAGTGCTCATAGTTCATGCAAGTTTAGACTGCTCTTGCAACAGGTCTGGCGGCAGAAACTAATTGGTCCAAGGCGCGTCCCGCACCCAAGACCGCCGGTTGAGCGATCAGTCTCCCTTTGCGTGTGTGTGTGTGTGTGTGTGTGTGTGTGTGTGTGTGTGTGTGTGTGTGTGTGTGTGTGTGTGTGTGTGTGTGTGTGTGTGTGTGTGTGTGTGTGTGTGTGTGTGTGTGTGTGTGTGTGTGTGTTTTATATTAAGGATGCCATCAGGGCGGGCGGAGTGCGCAGCTCTGTATAGTATGTGTGGTTAGCTGTTGTGAGTCAACAGATGCAGTCAGTTCAATCTTGGCACAGAGCAGGGCGCTTTGTTGTCTTGGAAGTTGTTAAAGGATGTTAGCTTCATGGATTGTAAGTCAAGCTGCGTAATGAAGCCCGAAACACACTACCCCGTCCCCACCGCCTGTTTTGATTTTTCTTAAGCCTCTGAACCCACAGCTGCAAGTTTGTCCAGGATTCATCCTGGCTACCGGAGTGGCCAGCAGTAGCCCAGGACTCAGCGATTGCACCAACGTTGAGCCTCGTCTGTGGGCTTAGGTTTGTTGATGTCCGCACAAAGGTTCGGAAAAAAAAAACGCTGTAAACGTACAGGCTTCGGAAGATTTGGGAACCATGGGGATTGCGCAGATTCATCAAGCAACTGCAGAAGCTCATGAATCGCAGAGCTGAATTCAAAAAAACGCCGTACCCGCCTTCTGAATCCGCAATCCGAAGCCCTGAAGCCCTAAAACCCACAGACCTTAGCCCTCAAGCTTAAGAGCTCCTGATGTTTTGGATACTTCTCAAAAAAAAAGAGGTTGCAACCCGGTTTTCAACCCTCCACCCGTGAAGTCATGGACCCAACTGCCTCGAGGTCTTCCTAGGTAGGATAAGGGGGACCCTTAAAAGGGAACCCCTTCTTAACCCTCTTCTGGCTCTTTTAAACAGGGACCTTATTCAGAGGGTCTATGTCCCCAAGGGTCCCCCTAGCTATCCCTTAGAGGTGGAAACGATTGATCACAAGCCGAGCCTCTGGCTGGAGCGAGCCCGGAGCTTACAGAAGCGTTCACGCATGCCCGCGTGAGCCCGCGAACCCAGAGGCCGACGAAGCCATTCTGGCTGTTGATTATATATATATATATATATGCATATATATATATATATATCTTCATATTAATATATATATATATATATATCTTTTTTTTTTTGTTTGTCTTTTCTTTTCTTTGGGGGGGGGGGGGTGGTTGCCTAGAAGAATCACTTCTTTTGTATCCTACCAACCATCAACAACTCAATACCCCTGGCAAGAAGGAAGCTACCGTCAGAGATCATCCCGAACGCTGAGCCAAGAAGCGTTCTTGTCCTTAGGGAGGCTGGGGGCCTATGTGAAATATGGTAGGTTTGCAGGGGTCGGGTCCCTCTAGAAAAGAATTGAGCACCCTAAAACCAGGGACCCAACCTCCCAGCCGACACTGAATAGGAGAGCCTCCAGGCTCTACGTACAAATTTTAAGCCCAAAAAGACCTTGGTTCGTGGACCTTCAGCCCCAAAACCTGAACCCCGAAATCGTGCTGGCAGCGCGTGCGAGGCGCGAATTGTTGCTGCCGGAGGCAAAGTATGCGGGGGGCGTCATTGCCTCGGCTGGGTTTAGGTTTTCGTTTTTTTGGATTTTGGGGTCCAGGGTTTGTAGGGTTGGCCTAGAGCCCCACAGTAGGCGTAGGCTATTACGGGTGCTTTGGGGTTTGGGATGGTGCCCAAGACATTGGGCTTCGTGTTGAGGGCTTACGGGGTTTTGCATTTTCCCAGGCCGGAAGAATGTAAATCCCCGAAGCCTGGGCCCCAAATGCCCCCAAAAGAAGGGTATTATGGGCCCTTGCACTACAAGACCTCAATCCCGATTCCCTCCTGAGCCTCCTGTCCAACAATGCCCTCAGGCCGGGCGCGGCTGGACGGAAACCTCGCCGTCAGCCCGGGTCTCAAGGGACGGCTGGCAGAAGCTTTGCTTGCGAAGGTTTTGGTTTGGGTGCCCACGTCTAGGACTAGGACCGTCTAGGAAGAACTTTGGCATCATGCAGTCGTTGCGTATGTATATGTATATGTACATGTACATGTACATGTATATGTATATGTATACGTATATGTACTAGGACCGTGAGTAGGCCCTTTTCTCCTTTTTTTCGGGTTGGGGTTCCCTTCTAATCCCCTTAAAACCAAAAAGGGCGCCCTTTTCATTCCTAGGTTACTCCCTGGTCTAGTGATGTGTATATGTATATGTATATGTATATGTATATGTATATGTATATGTATATCTGTATACTATGTACTGCCAGATTTCCGCAGCTACTACTATCGTCGCAGGACCTCAGACTTGTGTAATCTTGTGTATCAAAGTAGCGGCGCACAGCGGCAGGCCCTCAAACTCCACGACCCTGGGCACCGTAAACCCTTAAACTCCTAAATCTTCTATCTGGACCCACAACTGTTTTTTTGGTACCTGCTTGCTTACATTTGGCCTCTAAACCTCTAATTAAACCCCACACCCTGAACCCTAATCCTTAGGACTATTTGGTTGAATCCCTACTGTATAATGAGCCCTAAGGCCCAAAACCCTTGCGAACTGTCCCACGAAGAGGCCGTAGCCTCGGGGATTTTGATTTCAAAGACAACGCGAGCCGCCGTCGCCTCAGGGGTTTAGGGTTTGGGGTTCAGGTTTGCTCAAGCCCTCAACCCAAGAAGTTTGCTGAACTCCGAGAATGTGCTCTTGGATCTGTCCGCACATGAAAACCTTCATTGAGGTCCTGCGGCTGAGCAGAAGGTGTCATGCTTGCCTGCGACCAAGAGCGGCGGGGGGCGGTGGGGGGGAGATGGGGGGAGGCTTCATCAAATGTTGCATGTGTAAAACAATCTGGTGGTGGCCAGGCCGATTGCATCGGTTCATATCAGCATCATATCACCCTGTCCTGCTGTCAGTTTCATGTCGTCCTTGCTGATGGTGATTTCTTTGGAGTGGCGGGTGTACGCACGGTCTTGCTCTATGGACCAAAAGACTATAAGGAAGAAAAGGGCCCCAAACTTCGGGACGGAGAGATTGCGGACGTCAAGGGAAGGAAGCCTTGCAGGAACCAACCCTAAACCTTAACAGCCCTGAACTCCAGACCGTAAACCCGGGTGTGCAGGAGGCTTCAAAAGGATTAGCCAGAGGAGATCTAGGAGGCTTTCATCTTTCCCAGAACCTAGCAAGCCCCAAACCCCAAACTCCAAACCCAAAAACCTGATGTCCACCGAAACACAAACGGCAAACCCTCAAACCTCAACCCGCCTGAATCCCCGCAGCCGAAGATCCAAGCCTTGGCGATCAAGGCCTGACATCTACGAGGTTTCTGGACTACCGGAAGGGACGCTGCTCCTGTTGGCCGCGGCCTCAAGCGCCTAAGAAGGTTTGGGGTGTTCAGGGTTGAGGATTTGGGTTTCAGGTTCAGGGTTTGGGGTTCAGGGTTTAGGGTGTAGGTTTCCGGGTGCAGCTCTGAAATTTGAGCTTCCTCTTTCTCAGAGTACGACGCGGAAGGCCCTAAAGACCGCAGGACCCAAAGCCACCAAACAACCTGTGATTATTCAAGCCCTAGCCCTAAAACCCTGCCCTAAACCCTAAACCCTAAACCCTAAACCCTAGAGTTGAGGGTTCGAAGTTCAGGGGCCCTCGGACGAGGCCTGCGATGGCCTTTGGGACTCCATCTCCAGCGAGGAAGCAGCACAATTCGTTCGCGCCCGGTTCTCAGAGTTTGGGTTTATGGTAGGGTTTAGGGTTTAGGGTTTAGGGTTCAGGGTTCCGGGTTTAGGGTTTAGCGTTTAGGGTTTAGGGTTTAGGGTTCAGGGTTCAGGGTTCAAGGTTTAGGGTTCTAAACCCTAAACCCTAAACCCTAAACCCTAAACCCTGGACCCTCAAAACCGGACCGTAGTTCGGGAATCAAGTACTTCAGGAGCCTAAATCGTTTCGAAGGGCGTTTAAGGTTTAAGGTTTAGGGTTTAGGGTTTAGGGTTTAGGGTTTAGGGTTTAGGGTTTAGGGTTTAGGGTTCTAGACAAAGCAGTCCTGTCCCACCTTAATTGTGCAGACCTCCTTCTTCCCACGTCAGGCCCCTGTATTATTGTGTCCACATATCTCGCCCACATATTAAAAATTCCTTCAGAGGGTCTGCGGGGATATGATTTTTTTATTTTTTGGGGGGGCTGGTGCAAGGCAACGTGCGCATGGAAGGTTTGTGACAGGGATTACGGGCCCCCCCCCCCCCCCGTAACC